CTCCTTTCTCTTCTTCCGTTCATGAAGCGCTCAAGGCCGACGGGTACCGTGCCGGGTTGTGTACAAGCTGCGGGCGCTGTTGCTGCTCGTATTCTCTCTAGCGCTGCTTTTCGGAAGACCGAAAACAAACAAACCACGCACGCATCTTATAGATGCCAACGCTCGACGGCCGGTGCTCCGCTGCATACTATATATTTCATGTCTCAAGTCTCACCCTTTCGAGCAGGATCGCCTCCAGGTACGCCTGAGGAGAAGTCACGCCTTCGACGCTCGCCACCGGTGACGGTGGGCAGAGTCTCTCTACTTCTATGTCCTGCTGCTGTTGTCTGGACTCTCCGCCGTCTGACGCCTGGTAGCCCTCGTCTTGCCCAAACCCCTGCTGCTGCTGCTGCTGCTGCTGATGCTGGAAATACCTCCAGTCAGCCTCGCTTGACGACAGATTAGGGACCCCTCCGGAAGCTGCTCTCGCCGCGAAGAGATGCGCGGCGGCCGGCGAGACGTATCGCACTCCACCGTCTAGCTGTATTCTATGTGCGCTACCCATTCGAGAGCTGAAGCGGATAAGAGGTGCCGGCAGCGGGCGTGTGTGCTGAGCGCGCGCGCACCAAAAGACGGAAGTGGAGGAAAATAGCAAATAGGGCAACGTGGCCAACAACCCACGGAAAAACAGCGATCGTTGAGATTTGAGATTCCGCGTTCTGTTTGCGGTTGATGGGGGGCTATATTACGCCGCTGGCCGTTGCTGGCACGGCAGCGGGCAGCGGGAGCAGCGTGTTCTTCAGACTCAACAACAGGGGGTCGCCGCACGTGATGCTGGCCGCACGAATGATTGTCCGGGGGGTGTGGTGTATGTCCGCGTTGCGTCGGCACACACAGCTCGCTCCCTTCACCAATGTCACTTATTGTGAAACAAGCTGGTGTGATGATGACGTCGCCCCATCTGTGTATAACAAAACAAACGAGGTGGGCTATTCGGCTACCAGAAATTTTCGGCGGTGCTACTCTAGAATATATCCCGCAGAGAATAAGAAGGTAGGTTGACCTCTGATGTCACCCGACAGACTGCAGACGGGCTGTTCGCACATGCGGCGCTGTAGAGAGTAGAGAGTCAGGAGGCGTCATCTTCGTCCGTCCGCGGGAAACAAAGGGGATCCAGCCCCCCCCCCCCCCCCCCCCCTTTCTCTCTTGGGTTTGTTCTTCCTTCCCCTGTGTGTGTTTTGTGTTTTCAAACCAGAAAAACCCCCCGCCAAAAGTCCTCCTCCGCCTCCTCTTTCGCGGTGTCCCCCTCCGCCTCCGTGTTTTTGGCTTTCTCGGCTCCGGTTAATAAGCGGGGGTCAAATATTTTTGCGGGGACCCCGGGCGGGACCCAAGGAAAAAGCCGCCGGGGGGATCCTCCTTCTAAAAAACCCCCTTCTTCTTCTTCTTCTTCTTTTGAGCCAAAAAAAGCCCCCATCCCCAGCCCCTGTTGGGCTA